ATTGCAAAATCAGCATCGAGCGCCGTTTGAGAGAGTTTTTTGGAAATAACTTGCAAACTATACGTGCGTTAATGTTTTAAGTTATACCATCGTGTTTGCCGTGCGATTGCGCGTCGAATGATATATAGCAAAACATTAGTGCGTTGCTGGAAACATATAGCATTCTTGATGGCCGCAAATTTCCATGGTTTTGTTTCTGAGAGCCGCTCCGTTTGAAAGCCGATTGCCGGTGCAGACGATACACAGTGGTGGAACAAGCATTCAGTGGCGTTGTTATCAACATGCAAGTGATGGCAAATCTGGCCGCGGCCACTTGGAGGCGAAAAACGGCCCATTTCAGAAACGGACGTTTTTTCGACCCGTTTGAGGGCCAATATGAAATCCAGCACGCGTACAAATTGGATGCATGTTCAGATTGAAAACAGCCGTTTTTCGGCTAGTAAAATGTTCCAAGCTCATATCTAACGAACCAATGAAAATCGAACGGTGCTTTAACTTGCAAACGATGTAAGCCGATGTTACCACTTGTTGACAACATTTTTGCTCACCGGGTGCCGACCGAAAATTTTGGGGGGGGCCATTTGTCGAAAAAAATGAAAATTTTCGAAACGCGATTTTTTCATTTCTGAATGAAAGGGCATGGTCAAATTAGTGTGTAAGTGCAGTGGCAAGTGTTTCTGTGCAGGCAAACAGCTTGTGCAGCAATTGCAAAATCAGCATCGAGCGCCGTTTGAGAGTTTTTTGGAACTAACTTGCAAACTATACGTGCGTTAATGTTTTAAGTTATACCATCGTGTTCGCCGTGCGATTGCGCGTCGAATGATATATAGCAAAACATTAGTGCGTTGCTGGAAACATATAGCATTCTTGATGGCCGCAAATTTCCATGGTTTTGTTTCTGAGAGCCGCTCCGTTTGAAAGCCGATTGCCGGTGCAGACGATACACAGTGGTGGAACAAGCATTCAGTGGCGTTGTTGTCAACATGCAAGTGATGGCAAATCTGGCCGCGGCCACTTTGATGCGAAAAACGGCCCATTTCAGAAACGGACGTTTTTTCGACCCGTTTGAGGGCCAATATGAAATCCGGCACGCGTACAAATCGGATGCATGTTCAGATTGAAAACAGCCGTTTTTCGGCTAGTAAAATGTTCCAAACTCATATCTAGCGAACCAATGAAAATCGAACGGTGCTTTAACTTGCAAACGATGTATACCGATGTTACCACTTGTTGACAACATTTTTGCTCACCGGGTGCCGACCGAAAATTTTGGGGGGGGGCCATTTTGTCGAAAAAAATGAAAATTTTCGAAACGCGATTTTTTCATTTCTGAGTGAAAGGGCATGGTCCAATTAGTGTGTAAGTGCAGTGGCAAGTGTTTCTGTGCAGGCAAACAGCTTGTGCAGCAATTGCAAAATCAACATCGAGCGCCGTTTGGGAGAGTTTTTTGGATATAACTTGCAAACTATACGTGCGTTAATGTTTTAAGTTATACCATCGTGTTCGCCGTGCGATTGCGCGTCGAATGATATATAGTAAAACATTAGTGCGTTGCTGGAAACATATAGCATTCTTGATGGGCGCAAATTTCCATGGTTTTGTTTCTGAGAGCCGCTCCGTTTGAAAGCAGATTGCCGGTGCAGACGATACACAGTGGTGGAACAAGCATTGAGTGGCGTTGTTATCAACATGCAAGTGGTTGCAAATCTGGCCGCGGCCACTTTGATGCGAAAAACGGCCCATTTCAGAAACGGACGTTTTTTCGACCCGTTTGAGGGCCAATATGAAATCCGGCACGCGTACAAATCGGATGCATGTTCAGATTGAAAACAGCCGTTTTTCGGCTAGTAAAATGTTCCAAACTCATATCTAACGAACCAATGAAAATCGAACGGTGCTTTAACTTGCAAACGATGTATACCGATGTTACCACTTGTTGACAACATTTTTGCTCACCGGGTGCCGACCGAAAATTTTGGGGGGGGGCCATTTTGTCGAAAAAAATGAAAATTTTCGAAACGCGATTTTTTCATTTCTGAGTGAAAGGGCATGGTCCAATTAGTGTGTAAGTGCAGTGGCAAGTGTTTCTGTGCAGGCAAACAGCTTGTGCAGCAATTGCAAAATCAGCATCGAGCGCCGTTTGAGAGTTTTTTGGAAATAACTTGCAAACTATACGTGCGTTAATGTTTTAAGTTATACCATCGTGTTCGCCGTGCGATTGCGCGTCGAATGATATATAGCAAAACATTAGTGCGTTGCTGGAAACATATAGCATTCTTGATGGCCGCAAATTTCCATGGTTTTGTTTCTGAGAGCCGCTCCGTTTGAAAGCCGATTGCCGGTGCAGACGATACACAGTGGTGGAACAAGCATTGAGTGGCGTTGTTGTCAACATGCAAGTGGTTGCAAATCTGGCCGCGGCCACTTTGATGCGAAAAAACGGCCCATTTCAGAAACGGACGTTTTTTCGACCCGTTTGAGGGCCAATATGAAATCCAGCACGCGTACAAATTGGATGCATGTTCAGATTGAAAACAGCCGTTTTTCGGCTAGTAAAATGTTCCAAACTCATATCTAACGAACCAATGAAAATCGAACGGTGCTTTAACTTGCAAACGATGTATAGCCGATGTTACCACTTGTTGACAACATTTTTGCTCACCGGGTGCCGACCGAAAATTTTGGGGGGGGCCATTTTGTCGAAAAAAATGAAAATTTTCGAAACGCGATTTTTTCATTTCTGAGTGAAAGGGCATGGTCCAATTAGTGTGTAAGTGCCGCGGCAAGTGTTTCTGTGCAGCCAAACAGCTTGTGCAGCAATTGCAAAATCAGCATCGAGCGCCGTTTGAGAGAGTTTTTTGGAAATAACTTGCAAACTATACGTGCGTTAATGTTTTAAGTTATACCATCGTGTTCGCCGTGCGATTGCGCGTCGAATGATATATAGCAAAACATTAGTGCGTTGCTGGAAACATATAGCATTCTTGATGGCCGCAAATTTCCATGGTTTTGTTTCTGAGAGCCGCTCCGTTTGAAAGCAGATTGCCGGTGCAGACGATACACAGTGGTGGAACAAGCATTGAGTGGCGTTGTTATCAACATGCAAGTGGTTGCAAATCTGGCCGCGGCCACTTGATGCGAAAAACGGCCCATTTCAGAAACGGACGTTTTTTCGACCCGTTTGAGGGCCAATATGAAATCCGGCACGCGTACAAATCGGATGCATGTTCAGATTGAAAACAGCCGTTTTTCGGCTAGTAAAATGTTCCAAACTCATATCTAGCGAACCAATGAAAATCGAACGGTGCTTTAACTTGCAAACGATGTATACCGATGTTACCACTTGTTGACAACATTTTTGCTCACCGGGTGCCGACCGAAAATTTTGGGGGGGGCCATTTGTCGAAAAAAATGAAAATTTTCGAAACGCGATTTTTTCATTTCTGAGTGAAAGGGCATGGTCCAATTAGTGTGTAAGTGCCGCGGCAAGTGTTTCTGTGCAGCCAAACAGCTTGTGCAGCAATTGCAAAATCAACATCGAGCACCGTTTGAGGATTTTTTAAAAATAACCTGAAAACTATACGTGCGTTAATGTTCTAAGTTATACCATCGTGTTTGCCGTGCAATTGCGCGTCGAATGATATAAGCAAAACTTAGTGCGTTGCTGGAAACATATAGCATTCTTGATGGCCCGCAAATTTCCATGGTTTTGTTCTGAGAGCCGCTCGTTTGAAAGCCGATTGCCGGTTGCAGACGATACACCATTGGTGGAACAAGCATTCAGTGGCGTTGTTGTCAACATGCAAGTGATGGCAAATCTGGCCGCGGCCACTTTGATGCGAAAAACGGCCCATTTCAGAAACGGACGTTTTTTCGACCCGTTTGAGGGCCAATATGAAATCCGGCACGCGTACAAATCGGATGCATGTTCAGATTGAAAACAGCCGTTTTTCGGCTAGTAAAATGTTCCAAACTCATATCTAGCGAACCAATGAAAATCGAACGGTGCTTTAACTTGCAAACGATGTATACCGATGTTACCACTTGTTGACAACATTTTTGCTCACCGGGTGCCGACCGAAAATTTTGGGGGGG